ACACCAACCGAGGACTTAGGGCACTCAATAATACCTATGGCTGTCCCCATAAGTGCAAATCCTCGGGCCCAGGATATCCCGACTCCACTAGTGTACCCCGACCACCCTTGTAGGTTTAAGGAGCACTTAGCTGTGGCGACTGCTAGGGAATTCGGGCTGATGCCGAACTGTGATATTAGGTCTCCTGGCAATGAGGATAGGGTAGCTATTGCTCGAGAGGGAGAGTTTGTCATTTTCAAAGATTCTCTAAAGGGGGGATTTAGGTGGCCATTGCACCCCTTTTTCCTCGCGCTCTTGACCGAGCATAACATGAGCCCGGGGCAGTTAGTGCCGAACGGGTGGAGGATGTTGATATACTTTTTTATAGCTTGTAGATACCTCGGGATTATCCCATATGTCGACTTATGTAGGATGGTCTTCGACCTAAAACAACTTCCCCAGTACTCTTGTTTTGCTAACCTCTCAACCCGAGGAAGGTTTAGAATCCCGAGGATGCCTAGTTCCCTGAAGGGGTGGAAGGATAAGTGGTTCTACGCTATACCTCAAGATCCCGACGTTCTCTTTAGTCCTCGGTGGGGGGTTCCTGATACTGCTAGGTTTTGTGGGGGTCAGGCATACTTTGAATCGTTGGAGAGGCATAGGCAAATGCTAGAGGAGCTCGAGCCCTTCGTTTATGACTTGGATGATGTCCTCGGGGATGATATCCTCGAGCTTGCAAACATGAAAGGAATGGAGGGTAGGATATGTGAACTTGACGCTTAAATTCCCGATCTGTATTTTTACTATGCTCGTGCTAATTACATGTAATTTTTTATTTTTGCAGAGATGACGTTTGATCCAAGTGCCCTTCGTCAGGCAGTGAACAAGAAGTCCAAGGCTCCCCAGGCTCGGGCTCCAGGCCAGAGGAGGGGCCAAAAGAGACCTCAGGATGCGAGGCAGGAAAGGCAGACCAGTGGGCCTGGGGAATCGTCAAGGCCCCGAGGACCGTCTCCGGGAATAGGGAGGACGGGATCTCAGCAGCAGGATCTTTAGGGGACTCCTC